CATTGTAGTTCTGGTTGTGTAGCTGTTACAGTATAGCTTTTGCTCTTCCCTTTGCTTCCTTTCTTGCCGCCTTTACTCTTTCCTTTGTTCTTTATCGCGGCCTTCTCCTTTGCCTCGTCCTTTTCCATAGCCTCGGCCTCTTCCAAAGGTCCAGTCTCCTTGCCACCAGCTTCCTTTACCTTTCAAGTCAGTCACTCTGTCGACTTCCATCGCTGTGGCTTCATCTCCTGACGCTGGATCACGAAGTTCCAGCTGCTTGAGGATCTGCTCTTGGGAAAAGCTTTTGGAAGTTCTCTGATAGGCTGGCAATGCCCCTCTTACATCAGCATATGTTGACTTGTCAGTCAAGGAACGTTGGAGGTACGGTACTCCTTGAGCTTCTGTGGTGCACACCTGATCAGCGTCTCTGTTTTGAGGTCACTAGGATATGTCTCTTTGCTCGTTTGCTCATACTGCATGACCAGCTGCTCGAACTGCAAGATGTTCTCCATCATGGACAACTTCTGGTTGAAGTTCGGATACTGCCCAAGTGTCTGTGCCAATGCCAAAGATCGTTGGCGTGTAGCAGGAAGAAATTATCTGCACATCTGAAGCCAAAGCCTGAATCCATCCTTGGCTTGCTGATTGGCTCGAACCATCTGAAGACATCGTCCTCTCAAGTAGGAACTCAGCACCGCAAAGAACTTGTTGGCAATCGCTGTTTGTTCTGGCGTGTAGCTTGAGCAATCTGGTTCTCTTGCACTACCCTCTGCATTGGCTAGTAGATCATTGAACTTTGAATCTCCAAAGCTCAGCCATGATTCAAACTGCAGCTTCCATGTTGCAAACAACAATGGGTCTTCACCATTGACGGTGTCTGGACTTTTCAAAATCTTCGTGGCTGACTCCCAGCCTTGTGTCGAAGAACTTGCTGTCTTGGTCATCTCTGTTGCTGCTTGTGCTGCTGTGTTGGCTGCTTCATGCTTTGTGCTGTTCCAACCATCATGAACAGAATCATCACTTCTTCTTGACCACTTGGCTCAAACGGCAAAGTCTTCTACGTCTCAAGTCTTTTCCTTTCACTCTACTTGTTCAACCATTCTCTGCGCTCAGCTTTTGTCTTCCAGCCTTGTTGAGAATCTTCTTGAAGTCCATAGGCCATGGTGATCAGCGTCATGAAGATCACCACCATGCCAGGCTACCTGCTCAGGATGGCGATTGAGATCAAGCTCATAGTCTTGAAGACATCGAGGTCGTCTGCCAGCATCATAGTCTTGAAGTGCTCGTTCACCTGATTCTTCTTGAAGACGTTGTATTGTAGTTCCATTTCTCCATGCCAAAGCTGTCGATGTAGTTCTGGCTTTCCGTCGCATTTGTGATCACCTGCTCATTCTTTTTCTCATAGTGCTCCAAGCACATAGTCTCCTCCAAGGAGATCTTGATCGTGGCCATCATGATGTCCTGCTCACTCTCTTCCTCCAGGACATAGTTCTTTCTCTCTTCAAGTGAGTTCTGTGAAGCCTCACTTGTGGCCATCTTGTCCTCATTCTTTTTCTCCTGGCCTTGGGACTTGAACCCAAAGCATGCCACTTGTGAAGTCCAGCTTCACCTGAGGACTTGTTCTTTCTCTCTTCATTGCCCTGGGATTCAGGTGTAGTGAGCTCCAAGCTTATCTTCTCTTCTCTCTTGAGGTGAGTTCAGTGGGGCCTCACCTTTATGCCAGCATCTGCTTCTCCAGCTCGAACATGTCGAAGTGCTCCACATAGTCCACCAGGAAGATCGTGATCTCGGTGTCCAAGATGTAGTAGGCTGCTCAGCGCTCAATCTTGTACTCCAAGGCGTCGAGGATGTAGTGTCATCTTCCATCTCTCTTCTCCCCTCGAGCTCAAGTTCAAGAGTGGGCTCATCAAATTGATGCCCTGATGCCCTGCTGTGGTCATCTCGATGGGCTCAGTCCAGGTCATTGGCTCAAGGGCCAACCAATGACCTTCCAAGGTCTTCATGGTCGTCATGGCCATCACCAGCTTCCACCATGGCTGCGAGTCCCGAGCCCTCATGACCACCAGGGCCAATCACTGGGCTCCGCTACCATGTCGAACGCAGTGGTGCGCCTCTTTCACCACTCTTGATAAAAGCCGCTGAAGTCAGTACACATGTGTGTCGTGTTGACATGTCCACAGGCATGAGTGCTTGGCTGTATGTTGACAACTTCGTGATTTTTGTTTGTTGCAGTGGTGTCGCGCCTTCCCGCAAATCTCAGCAAGTCTGACACAGTGCTTCCCAGTGGACTTGCGATGTTGCCATTGCATCATGTATGACAGTTGGGGACTTGTCCTTAAAGCGCCCGAAATCAAGAGCAGAGTGAACACGAAGCTGAGTGGTGGTCGGAAGCATCAGATCCAGAACAATGGTTCGGGGCTCACATGCAGAAGGACACAGAAGATGATGGAGCGTTTGGATCGACAAACAAGTTGAAAGGATGACAAACCACACGGTCAAGTGCAGTATCTATGCCTATGATCAGTGTGGCTCGAGATTCGCAAAAGGGTGTGCATCGGAGAAACAGTTTTGGACACAAGATTGTTTCTCAGTTTTGGTTTTGCTTTGGTTCTTTATCCAGTTCCTATGCTATCCTCCTGGCCTCTTCATGTGAGACTGTGTTAGCCAGCCTCGACCAATCAACAGGCCGCAAGTAACAAAAGAATCAGCTGCGCACAGCTGATGGAGGCAGGTAGCCTTACAGGGTTTGCTCAGGGAGACAACCAACTCAAGGCCAAAGTGCGAAGAGTTCCTCTTAGTCACTGACCTGACAGCTACAGCTGTGCAGGACTATAGCCTCCACTAGCCATAAAATAAAAAAGCGGAGTTGCGCACATTCATGCTACTAGAGGTCACTGACACCCATTCAAGCTCATTCTCTCCCATCTGCTTGCAGGGCTGAGTCTTGCCTGCTCTGTCAGTTCCTGTACTGATGGGCATGAGGGGCGCTTACGGGTGTGGCATTTGTCTCTTTGATTTAGTTTCACACGTTCTTTCACCCCCGTACCTGTGGCACGCAAGAAGAAGAATAACATAGTAATGAGACAAAATGTTCTTTGGGTTGACCAGATCGTTTTGCACAGGGAAAAACTAAAAGACTCGTTTTGCTTACCTGTCAAGGTCTGATGCATTTGGGGGGCCATTGCCACCATCGTTCATGGTGTATTTCGACCAGTTGTTAGTGCAGAAACGTTTGGAGATGTGTTGATGTGACCAACCTGTTTTGGGAATTGTGAGTTCTATTTTGAAAATGTGTGTGCAGTGTGAATGTGCCGAATTCTGCCATTTTCTCCACATTCAGGTCTCGGGCTGGCTAATGCATGCACGCACAAAAAACATCAGTAGAACCAAAATCACATCCTGAACCATGCCAATTACCATCGCAAGCAAACCGTGTACGACTGGATATTTTCAATCAAGAGCAATAACCAGAAGTTTGATTCGAGGGACGGTGTTCTTTCCAGCACTAGGGGTAGTGCTGCTGCGATGCACATCAAGCAGGCAGGGAATTGGAGGGTGGATAGAGGCGACAGACTCCCTCCTCTCTCCACGAGCGCGGATTGAACAAAAACAACTTAAAGAAGGTATCAGGGTGGGTGAAAGGGCTTTGTACACTGAAACCCAAGTGACTCTTGCCCTTCTATCAAAAACTTGACTTACATGTTCGGATGATGAGTGTTGGCCGGCAACGCAAGTGGGGCGTGGAGCGGTGCATGCCAGAAGAGACCATCGCCGCCCACCAGCCATCAGGTGATTTTAAGAGGCTTCAAGACTTACAAGGAACAGGTGCCAAGAGATGTTTGCACAATGCTCTTTCAAAAAGTATTTGTGTGTCCAAAATGTTTGGTTGACCTCGACTCAAAGCTTGGCATTGATAAGCCAAGGTGAGTCTGCTTGAAGATTTCCACCCAGGAGTCAATGTCATTGTGGGCTGTAACCTCAACTTTCTTGGGTGAGTCGTGACAAAGATTCTTAACACTTACCTTTCTAAGGTTTCAATGGTTCAGGGAAGAGCAACCTCTTCAACGCCATCCTTTTCGTGATCTCTGACCACTTTGGCAGCTTGAGACAGGAGTGCGTGACACTTCTGCCCTGGATTCCATTGAACTTCCAAAGACATTTCCCGTTTTCTTGGAGGGTCCAAGATTGGCCTTTTTGCAGTCCAGAGGCAAGTTCGTAACATCCAAGACATTGCACATTTCAATAGGTACAGATCCCAAAACCAAACAGAATCTCCACCAGCTTTGCTGCTTTGATCCCACTGTGTCCCCCACGTAAAGAAGTTTGCAAGCGGCAGTGACATGAGGAGACCCGAAGGTCCTTGCTTCATGAGGGCGCAGGACCCGCAGTATCGAACTCAGAAACACACTTTGCTGGAGGTTTCATGATAAGACTTCAGTGTTTTCTTGTACTTGAAGAACACATCGGATCTTGACATGTTGCCTGTGGGCAACCTGTCAGGTCTTGACAGCCTTTGTGGAGATTGCCAGCCCGGCAACTTTGTGACAGACCTATCTTCCCGGAATCTTCCCCTTGTATACAATTTTTGGGATTGGTTCGACCAAAGACGAGAGGAGCTAAGGCTTGCCTGAGCTCTGAGTTCTTTCTGTGGACTGAAAACCCATTGGCTCAGTGTGATTGAGTGACCTGACACTCCAATATTGACACCAACCTGAATAACCTGCCTACAAGCATCCACAAATGCCCCCCAATCACAACAGCATCGAATTTTTGCTGTTGGACTCGAACATCACAACTAACTTCGCGCACAGGACATCAGTCAGCCTGCGGAGAGGAGAATCGCTCAAAGCACACTTTAGGTCTCCAAGCAGAGAGAACACTGCAGCAAAATCATACTAGTAGTTTATCCAAGGTCGCTCAGTTGCGGTTTCACTCGCCATGCCCTTCTTCTTCTCACCAGCGTTGAGCCGGCGTCAGAAAGGCAGGGACTGGTTCTGAAATCCATAAAGCTCAGAATGCTGCAAGAGCGGACAATATTTTTCAACAGCAATGACATTGCAAGAGTTTCTACACAATTAGGACAACAGGTCAATGACCGTGGGTTCTCCCACCTCCAGCCAATGCAGGAAGTGGCTCAACAAGCAGTGTCAATGCAACAGAGGCAAAGCAGAATGCAAGTGTGCAAAAGAAAGCGCATCTGAAGCGGACCTTGTCAACAATTGAAGCTTGGCAAGGAATAGGAGAAGTACATGTCTGTGGGTCAAACCACCTTCGAGCAGCTGCTTTACAAGGGCCCACAAATCAAAATTGTCCATGCCAAGTCCACCTTTGTATCACTTTTACACTGCTTACTGTATATAAGTGGTTGGTTTCTCTTTGCAAAGAAAGCAGCTGGTTCAAAGTGCCAGCTCCGCTGTCCCTAGGAGAAAGACTCCTTGCGATACAAGGCCGGCAAGGTCAAGCCTTGGATGGATGACGACGGCAACGTGGTGTGGTCCAAGTCCAGGCATGCAAAATACGGAACACACAGAAACAGAGTCAGTGAGCGCATGAAAAAGCCTGCAGGTCTAAACCAAGACTTCTTGAGTTGCAGCAAGTAAAGTCTGGCATTGTTGATGTATATGGGTTTGCTATCATGGCTGGGGCTGTTTGGAGCTCATCAAAGGCTTCTCAAGACTCTTGAGACCTGAAATCTAGTAACCCCAATGAATCGCCTGTTCCTGTGCTGGTTGGAGTTGACAATTGGCATTGTAATCGATTTCGGGTTGATCCTCATGTTGCAGGATTATCATTGGCGAGTGGGTCCTCTCACAGACCTTCGAGCAGCTTGCCTAACTTGGAGGGCCGGTAGATGTTGTTGCGCAAGTTTCGTTGGGTACTTTTGGTTCCCATTTTCATGTCAGAATCGAAGTAGCGGTCCAATGTAGGCGCATTGCATACGAGTCTCAGTGTTGCACGTTGCTTGGTGCATGGCATGTGGCAAGGACAATCATGGGAGTGATCATCGCCACGAATATTTGCATCATGGTGGTAGAATCAAACGTGCCTTGGCCGCGCATGATGTCTGTCTGTCATGAAAGTGACATGATGTGAAATGCCACTCGCTTCTCGGTCCCTGTCATTCTGGAGGCAGATGCAAGTTGCTACACTTGGGCTGTGGAAAACAATGAGCTTGAGAAAATGCTAGAAAAGTGTCCTCATCGCAGTTCCAGTATTTGGTGGCTTCAGGCCTCAGCTTTTGCGAAGACAACTTTCTTTGTGATTGCTCATGTGTGCATGTGAATAATTCTTGTCAGGCTTCAACTTTTTTTAATGCAAAGCTTTCACCTTGAGGTTGCCAATATCGTGCTTTTGGTCATCTACAGTGTGGAGTGTATGTTGCGTGCCTTCGTGGAACGCCACAACTATTTGTGGAATAGGCGTATGGCAAGCACATCCTTGTTGTCATGTATCCTCTGTAAACAGTTGGTTTTGGCTCGGGAATCATTTTTGTCCTTCCGGCTGGAAAAACCAATGACTGACCAAATCGATGTGCAGGTGGAACCAAATCGATTTGCTGACCGTAGTCCTGGGCTGGGCTGGTGTCGTCCTGGCAGCTGCGGCGTCATTCTCTGGATTCCAATTCAATGTGCTCCGCATAACACGAGTGATCAGACTGTTGAGGGCAGCTCGTGTGGTCATTTCCATTCCAGAATTCTACATCCTGGTGGCTTGGCAAGATCTAACCTGCGTACCAGTGTACCTTTTCTTCAACGAAGATGGTGCAGGTGTGCAGCATGTTCCACAGAGTCAGAATCAACTACTAATGCAAGAGAATGGTCAGGAAACTAAAGAGTCTGCAAAGTGTGTCATATATACGCGTTGGCACAGAGGACGCTACTAGGGGCTCCTGGCATCGTTACTAGGAGCATTCTTACTAGTAGTAGCAAGAAGCATACACTGATACATCGGACCTTTCAGGTTTAGGGCTTTTAGGTTTTGGTGCCTTAGGGTTCAGTTGGTGTAGTGGCTTATCGATGTAGCAAGGTATCGGAGACACCACCAAGTGATCAAGATATCTTGTGGCACTTGTTTGATGGGTTTGGTGTGTACCTGTTACTGCTATTGTTTGTTCGTCTTCTTCACATGATGCTCCTGCCGTTGATCTGCTGATTTCGCTGGGCTTGTCGGTATTGTTATGCAGATTCTTCAGTTTTGTCACCGTTCTTTTCAGGATTGTGCAGTTGTGGTACAGGTCGCTATTCCTTGTTTGTTTATTTTCTTGTTATTGTTGTTGTGGTTGGTGCCGTTGGCGTCGTTCTTATTGCTCTCATAAGTGGTGGGGTCGGGATGGCACTTGGCCTCGCAGTTTCTGTCACTGATGCCTGTGGTGTTGTCGGATTGATGCCTTTGGCCTCCTCTTGCTGTTACATTCGGTCTTTCCATAAAAGGAGAACTTGACAACAAAATGGTGTGCACACTTGACCACAGATTCTGTGCTAAAGCAACTAATGACTACTGAGTAGTGCCAAAGGCCGTACAGCTGAAATGCGCAGGTGAGTGGATTGACTTCCTCGTTCAAGGCCATCATCTTTGGCTCTGTGATGCTGGTGTCGGCATCTGGGTTGCAGAGTCCTAACATGAGATCCCCCCAGCAGGTCTTGCTCTAATTGCCTCCTCTATGTTGACAGAGGCTTGCTCGATTTCGAGACATGACATTTGTTTTGCCTCGGAGGTAATCATTGTTTGGGCAATCATTGGGGTGGAGCTGCTCCATCCAGCTGCTTTGGATGAGAGAGCAACAGCTTTCCGCCGGAGGGAGATTGAAGACCCTTCGAGCGAGCAGTCCTCCTTCCCCATTTTTAGGACGAAGATTGCTTTCAACCCCTTCAAAAGATGTGGCGTGGGTCCCCAAAAGAGACTAACTTGCCTTGTTGATGTTCTTGATCGATGGGAGCCCTTTCTGCCTTCAGCCAGCAGACGAAGCTGAGTTGAATGCGGGAAAGATCTATCCTGACACCTGCTGGCATTGCAAAGATGCCTTTGGAAGTGTCCAAGAGGCCGCAGTGACAATCTTCAAACAGTCACCCAGTTGCACAAGTCGATTTTGTAAGCAGCTGTCTTCCAAAATGTCAGTCGATTTTGTATGGATCAGTCTAGTTGTCCGTCAGGATTGTCGCGGGTGATTCGTGGGGTGAGATCAATGAACCATTGGCGCTGGAGCACCCAGCCCTGATCCCGCTCTTTTTCTTCATGTTCATGATGATCTCACTTGGCTGCATGAATTTGATTCTCGCAGTCATCGTCGAAGCTCAGCTTAGACCTTTTGCATTGCTGCTTGAAAACCAAAGGTACGTTTAGCTAGAACAGCTTTCCAACCAATTGGTCAGATACATAGAAGTTGTTAACAGGTTTGCATCCACTGTGGCGCATTCAAGGAACGAGCGACAGAGGCGAGAGAGAATGACCAAGCGAGAAAATTGCAAAAGAAGGAGACATTCAATGAAGACAACAGATTGCAGATTAAAGGCAACCGATTTCGACATTCTTGCAAAGAGTACGCTACCGCTGCAGGACGCGGAGCGCGAGGCCAACATGGTTGAACTAGCACTGCTTTGTGACAGCATGGATGTGAATGGCAATGGATCTCTCTCCCTGCAAGAGATGCTTGATGGCTACGACCATAACCACCACTTCAACAATCTGATGCAAGAGATGGATTTTTGGCAAAATCACGAACACTCGCAAGGCATTTTTTTAAACATTCTTTCGGAGTGACACCTACACTTCTCACTTGTGCAGCTGGAGGACATCCGACGTTCAGACATCAGAACGATCTTCAACGTATTGGATGGAGACGCTTGGCACGCTTGGCTTAGGCCGATTGCACTGACCCTGCAGGTCGTACATTGCTTGGCAAGTCAGTGTTGCTAGCAGCCTCACCCTGTGACCACTGCCATTGCAAATGATCTCGACGCAAATAGGACAAAGATTGTGGAACCGCTGAGGACTGTTCAGGTGAAGTGTCCTATGTGGAGTTTTGCCAACAGCTTGGGACATGCAGGCTGGTGATAGAAAACAAAAGCTGCTTGTGACACCTGCAGATCAAGCCTGTGTCACCTGGTGGTAGGGATGCGGTCAGGGAATCTTGACATCCAAGAGTCCAATCACTGTGTTCTCAAAATCTGGCTGCATTGCCTTTAGTACTTGTCTCTGTAAACTTTTGCCAGTGCTGAACGCAGGAAGAGGGATCCTGTCATGATGCACTCACTTATCAAATACTCTGTGATGGAAGTGCAGAAGATCCTGAACCACGAAATCATGGATACTTTGAACGAGCATACCGAGGCGTTGATGAACGGTCCAGCGCAAGGGTTAGGTACTTCATTTCAAGGGCCGACACTGGCAGCATTGGCAGCTTCTGTATATATAAGTCCAGAAAAGAACTATGTGGGAATAGTGTCCAAACTGGCACCACCTAAGCTTCAAGCCATCTCCAGGCACTCATTGAACAGAGAGAGATGCTCATGGAGCAGCTTCAGTTGCTCCATGCCCTGCCGGTGGATCCAAAAATCAAAGAGGACCGGTGCAGAATTTTGAATTCCTGTAGCTCGTAGAGCCAAAACTGTGGTTGTTTGGAACAGGCTTCGCAATAGGTCACTCGACTGCAGGTGGCGCAGAAGAGACGCGCGGCCCGAGTCCTGCGTCGACAAGGCACCCTGTGACCAGAGACAAGGTGAGTTGTTTCCATGCGAAAGCCGGCCATTACTGTAGGGCCGTTAGGCCAGGCGAAAGTTGTTCAGGCGAACGAAGTGAGGCTTAGGGCATCTGAGGGAAATTTTAGTTTCAGTGCATTCTGGCGATTCTATTGATGCTGGTAACGCAAGATAAACACACTGCATTTCCAACATCATCGAAAGCTCCTCAAGCCGAGGGGACTTGGGAGGTTGCCCCATCTTTCGTCCCCCTTCCTTCTTAGGGTAAGAGATGATTGACCTTTTGGCTTTTTGAGGTTGAGTGGGGTGTGGAGAAAGCTGAGGCAAAAAGCAGGGGAAGCCTCAATATTTCGACGAGAATGGCACAGCTGCCACAGCCTACAGCTCTCATGGCTCTGATGTTCAAGAGGAAGGATCTGGGATGGTAGCTCATCAGGCCCTATCCTCGACATTGGGATGAAAGCTTGGACGAAAAACAGGGTCAACAACAAATTCAGCTTTGAAGGCTTTAAAGCAGCAACACTTCAGCCTTGGGGTTTGTGCCAGGTCGTTAATTCCATGGAAAGCACTTGCCAAAGCTTCGAGGATGGGGTAAAACATATTATTGAACGATTGGGACACGTTTCCCAGAGCGTCCCGTGAACTTGCATTGTTCGACCGTTTGTTGGGCCTTCGTTTGAGATATGTATATATATACCGATATACCGTATAGCTGCTCAGCACTTCAGGTACTTGCCATTTTACATATTTGGGGTTTTGTGGGCGCCAATCTTGGGTTCTGGCATGTTTGAAGGAAACCGTTCTCAGAGGAACGCGTGACCTGCCTTCCGACCTGGGCTCGCAGTTCTGTTAAAAGACTACTGACCCTGCATTCTGAGTACTTGGTGGAATCACCTAGCCAGCCACCTATCAAAGCTTATCAAAGCATCCGGCAGCTGGCGGAATGTACCCGGCGGCCAACAAACATCATGGGGCTGGCGGACTCAGCCGCCGGGTATCCAGAGCAGTATCAGCGGCTGGCCGAAAAGCGTTAGGCCCCGGAATGTTACTGACCTGCAAGAGAAGCACATCGAGTGCTGCCAGGAGCTCCAGTCACAGATGCAGTCCTTGATTAGGTCTACAGAGGAGTTATCCTCAAAGGCCACGAATTCAAAGCAGGACTTGCTGGAGCCCGGAACAGGCCGCGACAACAGAGTCAGACCCAACAGTCATCGGGCGTGAGGCTCTGAGGGGTTGTAGTCTAGGAGTCTAGAAGGAGGTACCTTGTAGGGAGCGGTGTTCAGCGGAGATAAAGTCACATCTTTGCTTTGTTACTCTGTGCCTGACTCTTTTGTTTTGCTGAATGGAGCTGTTCTCAAGGTTCTACACACGATCGACGTGAATGCTTGCTATCATCTTTAGCAAAGACTGTTTGCCAACCGATCCTTCTGTTCTTTTCCAGGCACGTTGTTGGCAGTTCAAACAGAAGATGCTCAAGCGCTCTCTGCAGACAGAAATGAAAGAACCACCAGCCTCAATGAAGAACTCGAGAGAAAGTTCTCGCTTCTTCTAGCCAAGCTGCGGCAAAGCCCTTCAACTGCGATTGGTGGGTCCTTTCTTGTTGCAGGCTGAGATTAAGGTCTCACAAGAGGTGGAGTGATGTCTTTTCAAGTCTGTGACCGAAACCCTGGAATGATAGTCAATCAATCTTTGCATCTCTGAGGAATGGACGACGAAGAAGTACTGCAACGAAGATGTAAAGATGCTGTCCAAGCTGTTGATTCGCTACTCGCGGATCATAGTGGACGCTACTTTTACTGCTAAGCAGTAAACAGAAGCATCCATAGAGTCAGAAAAAGTGGAAGTTGCCGCACCTTTAAGAAAGTCAGCCCATGTTTCTAGCAAGATTGGGTGGATTGATTGTGAATCTATTGAACGGTCTACCAGTAGCTTTGCTTCCGAAGCGCAAATGGGGGTGTTGCCTTTCTCAAACCTATGAAAGGGAAGTGGGCCACGTCACGGCGCAGGGCTGATCGGACGAGGCTTTTGTCTGGATGCTGATGTGGTGTTCCAAGATAGCAATGTCCCTTTAAGAGTTGAGTATTGGGGCAGGGTTGGCCACCCTAGCAGATGGTCTCATCATATGGGGCCCTGAAAGTAGTTTGTTGGAGGGTCATGTTTTGAAAGAGGGGGTAGCTGGTTCAATGGTTCACAAACACAGATGATACAGATATATTACTGTAAAACCACAAACTTATTGTTGTTGTTAGAAACTCAAACAGCCGCCCAACATAGTTATCACATGTTGTAACTCTGGAACTTCAAGGGGACCGGACAAAATTTGGGGTTATTGAAGGTTGAGGGAATGTTGGTTTCATAAGTAGATGGACTTGTTGGACTTGTTTCACTGAAGTCTGGGCTGGTCCGTTTTTAATGTCTTTGAGGTGTTGTGTTGGAGGGGGGTCAAAAACCAACAACGGGGCTGCAGTCTTTGTTTTTAGGAGGGGTAGGGACAACAACACCTTTAGAGGGGGCGGTCGGGTGCAAAAAACAACCACGGGAGCTGGAGCTGGTGGAGGTTTCTATAGTAGCTGTAGTAGTAGTCGTCGTCGTAGTCGTCGTCGTGGTGGTGGTGGTGGTGGTAGTGGTAGTTGTAGTGCAAGTGGTAGTGGTAGTGGTAGGAGAAGCACTAAGAGTAGAAATAGTGGTAAGAGTACTAGGAAGTTACGAGGTAGCAGCTCACCCCACAAATACTACTAGACTCCTTACCACCATTGTGTTACTACTACGACGACGACGACGACGACTACTACTACTACTACCACGACGACTACGACTACGACTACGACTGCGACTACGACTACGACTACCACTACCACTACCACTACCACTACCACTACCACTACTTGTTGTTGTCGTTGTTGTTGTTGTTGTTGCTGCTGTGCAAGATTCTGTACCTGTATGAGGGCAACGCCTGGAAGGAAGGAATATTGTGGTAGTTTCAGCCAGGAATTGCCGAACATGGAGTCCAAAGAAGGGATACTTTTGAGCCGGAGTCATATTGAATTGAAGATTGTCGTGTGTTACGCTGGCGCTAAAACAAAAGCCACATGCTTCGTTGAATTTGGGTGTTCTTTTGGAGACAAGCGCACATTGGTTTCGCAATTGCAGGGTTTCCCAGCGGAACTCATGACAGGTGTTTGATAATGTAGACCGACGTATGCCCATTGACAAAGACGAGGTTCGCGTCCGTCTAGCACTCAGAAGATTACCTAAGGATGAGATGCTGGGTGCCACTATGCGTAGAATAGTTTCATTGTTCCTACCCAACTTTGACTTGTTTGCTGTTCCTTTGTGTTATCTTATTAATAGAACTCGTTTTGGTTTAGTTGTCGCACTCGTGTTAAACTAGCGGTGAATGCAAACACACACACACACATCGTCAAAAATAGAAAGTTGGCTGTCTCGTGGAGTCTTTTGCCTCCTTCCTGAACAACGACTCAGTAGTGTCTCTTGCACTCCATTATTGGTCATCTTCCAGAGACATGGAGTAGGTGATTCACACATATACAATATGAACATTTATGAACTACATAGGTCTTCTTTCAAGGTGTCCTGCAGTGTTTGCGTCCGAGAGTAGTACTTGCAGTACTGTTAGCCAAGTCTGGGAAGAGAGAGCCGTGAAAGCCGGGCTGATTCACCACCTTGCAGAAGTGCAAAACGACAAACCTGACATGCCTCCCAGGCCGGACCATTGGTGCGAAGAAGGAGCTCACTGTAATTCTTTGAGAGCAGTGATCCGACCTTCTGAGTGAGATACAAAACACCCCTGCACCACTCTTTGATTAGTCACAAACTTGTAGAGTATATTGGCCTGAGAAGCCTCAGCCTATGGAAGTCAATAGCTTTTCAAGATGAATCCCATGTTTGGCCACCAATAAGAAAGTGGCACTAGCCGCTAGCCATCAGCGAACTTCCCACAGATATGGACTTGTAAGCTGGCCCCAATTGCATAGCTTGCACAGCTCCCTCAGAGTCATGACAGGACGACTACTCTCTAGATGGGAAGACGGCCACAAGGAATGAAGTCTTCAACTTGTTGGAAAGCTGCGGTTTCACAAAGCACCTTCCTCAGAGTTTCGCCGTGTTGCGAATTCATGCTTTTTGTATGAGCCGTGAAGTAAGAGGGCCACATGTGAGTCAGTCATCAGCAATGGCACTGTGACAAAGGGAAAGCCAAGCTGCAATTCTTGTATCTCTCAATTTTAACCCTACAGTACGTTCTTGTTTCTCGTGCTCAGTTTATCAAAACCTGCAATCAGGTCAAATCCATACTACATTGTGCAACAGGGCAAGGCCGCATGGGTACGTTGCAGATGCGCCTAGATGCTTTTGTGGTTTTGAGGCTTCTTGAGATCTCTTTCACGTGACACGGTACTTGTTGCCTCAGTCGATCTTACGCTGCTTTGCATACAAGAAACCATGTCAGCATTTTTTTAAATGCAGCTGAGGATCCTAAGTTTGATCCATTTGTGGATCCATATAATTTTCACACGTATTCCAGCTTCTTTCATTCTGAGATGTTCCCCAGCAGGATGCCACTAGCTAACTTGTGCATTGGACCCCAGTTCCTTTTTTGTGGTATCGTGATCGTGATTTGTAGAAGGTAGCAGAGCTAACACTGATGGATGACCGTCGACGCTTAGAACTTCTAAAGGACTGCCATTGTGTGTGGATCTGTGGGAAGCCCTTACACTTCCCATCATCCGTCACAGGTGGACGCTACGAAATCGGCCTTTCGAAAGATCCGGAAACGCTTCTTTGAGTTACGCACAAGAACCCTAGATACTCTAATGGTTGCGCTTGGCCGAAGTAAGAAGACACCGGCAGCATTCTTTTGGCAAGAACGCTACCGCTTTCAAGCATGACCATTTCAGTCTCATAATCCCTTCCTTTCGATGTCATTGGTTTTCTAGTTAGAGTTTTTGATGAGCTACATATGTTGGCTCGCACTCACTTTGATATTTCTTGTATATTATATAAGTAGAATCTTTCTTTGAGGAGATCTCTGGTGCTGGTGTCTACGATGAACGCCGAGCCGAATCTGTGAAGTTACTGCAGGACAGGATAGTTGATGCCACTGGCCGCAGGGGCTTTGTTTTCCTTCGCCCACCACAGAGCAATTTGCTCATTCCATTGTAGGACCCTTCGTTGCCCGATCTCTGCTCTGTTGGGCAACTCTGAAGATGCAGATCTAGCCAAACCACTTTAAGAGACAAGCAGCGCATGTATGCAAAGCTTATATATATATATATAGAGTATATAGCTTGATTTGACAGGACGATTTGTTGGAGTTTCAGTAAACAAGTGGACTTGTGAGGTTCGCCGCCTCAGGAGACAAGCCTCAGGAGGAAGAAAACTGATGAGATTATCGAGGTCTCCCTCAACTACTTGCAAGGGCAGATGGGATAGATCTGTGATGTGTTTTTTGTTTTAGATATTAGCATTATTCTTGACGCTCAATTGTCACCAGCTATTGATGCTCGGTAATTTTGAAAGTCAATGTCCATGCAGGGTTCCTTCTATCCAGAAGACTCTTGCTTGATGCATGCATTCCCTAGTCTGGTAAACCCAAGTGCATCTTGGCCTTCATATATCATGTGGATGCCGCAGAAATTCAGAGCTCAAAGCTTTGCTGCCTCAACAAGAGAAAAATTGTGGCAAAGGGCCAAACTGCGGATCATGTGGCATGTGAGCAAGTCAGCAACGGCATCAATCTGTCAGAAGTACCGACTTCACGTGCTCTGGAGGCACGCCCAACCAAACAAATTGTCAGACAGATGACAAGAAGTTGCAACGCGTCCACATCTCAGTCATTTTTTAGCAGTATTCACACCTGGCCTTGAAGCCCTTGTGATGGTGATGCTGGTGTATTTCTTGCTGCTGGCATTGGTGGTGCCCGGAGTCGCGACACCTTTGGTCACGATCATTGTATCCCGCCATGGCATTCGCAACTTGGCTTCATTCGCCTACTGGCAAACGACAAAGTCATCTAGGAGCCACCTGAACATTGGGGCTCCGCTCATCTCATCAGCATCCAGATCGGCACAGTCTTTCACCCATGCCAGATGATGTCACATTTTTTATTCTGACATTTAGACGTGTGATATACTTTTGTGTGCATAACATTTTGTTGTTTGAACAACAATTTAAGGAACATAAAACATGACTAGAGCTTGTTGTATTTATATACATATATATACACATACACACATGTTTTGCGTTTGAAACAGATTCGGAGTAGCTCGTAGAACGAGATCAAGTCAGATGTGTACTGTCATTAGAGATGAGGTCAGCAGGAACAAGGTTGGGATTCGCCAGAGAGCAGAGATTGTATCGATAGGGTATCGGGCATTAGGCACATGTAGGAATCGAGCAATGTTATCGCTCATGTGTACATCCCACGCCCACACACAGACCCACGGCTCCTCGCATGCACGCCTTTGGCTAGTCCTTACTATCAATGACAAAAGTCTGATCCAGGCAGCATGAATGAGGGATGAACAGATCAATTTGCCCTACTTCCTTTGTATCCATTGGCAGGTACACCATATCCACCAGGAGGTGAAGGGAATTTGACCAAAGAGGTCCAGTTCTGAGAGGGACCGCGGTGGACTGCTGAGGACCCACCAGAGGGGCCGAAGTTTGATGAAAGGGACGAGAGATAAGACACTAGTCACGATTGCATGTAGGTTCTGGCTACTTACACCTGAATCAGCTGCAGTCCTTCTCCACATCGTGTCTCTTTTTTGCATGCCCAGTCCATGGCCCAGTACACCACGAAGAGCTTTCCACCTTGTTGGCCTCCAGGTCTGACACTGAGAGGGGGAGCCAGAAAAATCTAGGAATTGTATAAATCATTAGTGCGAGCGTGAGCTATCCTGCACCCTAGCTAGGAGCTTCCTATTGCTAGTAGCTTCCTACTCTCTTGCTTAATTGAGTAGGTGCCTACTTAAAGTAAGGAGGCAGGGCCACGGGCTAGAAAAGGGGGTTTGCAAGTCACAGTTTGGGATGTCCCAGACCCAAGGCGAAAGCGTGAAATAGGAGAGTTCCTTTTGTCAAAGAAAGAACATGAGAATTGAAAAAGACAAACACTTTTTCAAAAAGATGGAGAGGTGGACGACTCGGTGCCTCTTATTAGATTTCGATAGGAAGCGCTAAGAGGGCCCAGTCGTCCAGCTTTCCAAGACCTGAGGTGCTAAGGAGAGGTGAGGTGTTTGGGCCATTCTTTTTCTGCATTAACTCTGGTTGATTTCTTTTTTTCTAGTACAGGAACAAGAAGCTACACTACTAGGAGCAAGGACGCTACTAGGGGCTCCTGGCATCGCTACTAGGAGCATTCTTACTACTAGTAGCAAGAAGGAACAAGAAGCCGGTTCCTGGCCCTACTACTAGTAACAAGAAGCTACTAGGAGCATTCTTCCTACTAACAAGAACGCAACATGTGACCTTTTGAGGTCCTGAGAGCTCTGGTGTTTGGGGCAGCAGCATTACTGCAGGGCTCACACCTCATGGTGGCGAGCAGATTCGACTTATGGGCCGGTGGTTTCTTGGTGAGAAACTCCAAGGCTGTCCACTCAAGCCAGTCTAGCTTCAATTGGAACCATTCTATTTATCTCAACTGAAGCAACTCCAGCCGACTCCAGCCGCGGTTGTGTTAGCATCCCATCATCTCCTTGCGTGCCCTTGAGCACTTGCTCTAAAGTTGCATGTAAAACTCCAGTCATCGAGCTTAGCTTGGCCTGCATGCCAGTTAAAGGCAGAGCATGAGAGATTTCTGTTTGCCCTATAGACGAGGATGGGCACCTCGAACTTCTCTGGTGTCAGTTGTGATGACGTTGCTGTTTATGCAGACATCAGCTCTTCTCGAGACAACGAAGCCTCAGCTGCACGTGAGTTGACTTTTAGCAGAACTTTCTTTTTAGATGCACATTACATTCCAACTTTCCAATTTGTTTAGATTCCACTAGCGTCCAAAGTTGCTTCAAGCCTTCAGACATTTTAGCTCTCCTTCTTAAAGTGTGTAACACGCTTGCTGACCATGTAGATGTCTTCTTGTACGAACACGCATGTTGCATGGTTTGTGTCCACAAACATGTGGCAGAGTTTGCAAGCATTTGCAAGTGTTAGCATAATGTGTTGTGCTGTCGGAGCAGGCTTGTAGTGACTCTTGCGCAGGCAAGCGCCTGACTTTGCAAATGTCGGCCGCAGGCATTTTGTGTGCAGGCAATTTGTCCAACACTCTAGTCACTAGTCAGTTGTCATGGTCGGCACCCCAAGGTCCTTTTTAGGTGTGTTGCTTTGGCGTGTTATGGACTCCATCAAATTATGTCACTAATACTATACCTATATGTGGTTGAGAAGTCCTGGTTTGGTTTCGACGTGGTGTTGTTGGTGTATCTTGTCGAAGCGCTGGTTGATCCTGTAGCTCAGATGTGTCCCTGGAATGTCTGAAGTCTCTTAGCGGCTTAGCGCAGTGATGCATGGCAATTTTTGCTTGGATTGTCTCCATTTATTGGATTTGATTGTTCTTGGTTTGAAAGGACATGGCTGTTTCATTCATGTGTCTCTCGGGACTGGTCGAGGAGACTGCCACCAACTGGACTCTTGGTGCATTTCCCACTTGCAAAGCGCTGCACCAGGAGGAGGTGATCAAAGGCGATTCCAACTTTCAGAGAAACAACTTGTATGTTTGTTTCAAGACAGTTAAAGGGCTCAAAGGTGGTGTCATTAGTGACAACGAACTTTAGAGCCCAAGTGCCTGAATCAGGGCACGCCGTGTTTTTCAATCCTAGACCAGACGTGTAGCAGTGTAGCAATGGAAACCGGCCCTCAAGTGGTGCAAGAATGAGGGTAGAAATGGTGCAGGCCCACATTGTGGGTAGGCATGGCAAAGGCAATTCGTGCATGTTGCGTGCTTTGACGGGTAAGGGGCCCAGGGAGGTCGACACAGCTTCTTGGAAGAAGGCGAGCCACCACTGGGGACGGCTCGCACTTGTTTCATGCTCTGGCGGAGCATAATGAAGGACAACAAAGCCTGCGCACAGAACACTGCGACTTGCCTGCCAGAGGGTCTTTTCATGGAAGCAATGCAAGTTTCCAGTACAGGAAGGCAGTCAGGAAGAGAGTCAGGATGGCCAAGCTGCAGTTGACTCAGCAGACTGGCTTGCCGACTATGCCTGACATAAATGAGACATGGGAACAAATCAGGGACAATGACATGAAGAGTAGAGGAGGCTGCCGCAAGACAGAAGTGGACTCTGGAAAAGTGCTCATCTTGATGCGTGTGTGTCATAGATGTTCAGAGGCAGCAAGGTAAGCTGAGAGTACAGTGTCGGGGGATTTGCTTTTTGCAACCTTTTTGCAAGTTTGTGGATTGCGGTGGCTGTTTGATGACATGGGTCAGCCGAGATGCTGCTTCCGTGTGTCAGGAACTTGTTGTGCCACTTTGTAGGTTCCCCAGGTTGAGCTCGGGTTATGCCTGCTTGTAGTCGTACCGGGCGTGCACACCATTTTGATGGCACCACGAGTGTCGGCGTGTAATTCGTTTTTTTTTTTTTTTAATGGCTAGTCACAGGCGAGACGCCCTTGGCGAAAGCGAAAGGAATACATATACTTAAATAGTAGCCAAAGTAGCTGACGACACCAATTCTGCAAAGGTGTGTCAAGATGCCTTTAGTCTTTTCAAACCTTGAGCATCGGCTAGCCGACATGGAGTCTGCAATCTTGTCTTTCAGGTGATGCAAAGCAGGTTCTCTTCAATGATGGCTCCAATCAGGAGAGACTGCAACCTGAAAGTAGCCAGATCCATGGAAGTTGACCAGAGCAAGGTGTGAAGGAAGAAATGCATCCCTTATTCGGCAGATTTTGAGGATTGAGTGCAAGTGACAAGTGACGCAGTTGATCGTGAAAGGAACAAAGAATTTAGCTAGAACAGCTAGAAGAGACGGGGTGTCAAATGAAATTCTGACACCGCCGCCCAACAAAGGAGCTTTGTGGCTTTCAGAGTTCGAAAGTGGCCTGGTACAAAGCAGAAAGAGTTCTAAAACGCAGGCGTTCATTTTGAAGCTGTCTCCAGTCCCGTTTTCCAATGCTTTCACACACCACAAACTCCCACACCATTTGTAGTCGTGCTTGGGCCCTGAAGCAATTCCATGAACCAAAAGATTTGGACAGGACCTTGAATCAAAGGAGTATTCGCCCTCCTGGCAGATTCTGGTAAAGAGGTGGATGCTATTTCTTGAATACGGGAAGGCACTTTACATACATTATTGCCTTTTTCTTTGTATACTCAGGTGATCCAAAGCTTCTTGGGCGGAGGAAAATATGAAGCGCTGCTCAATGCTTGGAAGTCGCAGATTCAACTGGTGTGGTCCTTACGTAGCGAACGTCGTATTGATTCTGGATACAGCTGTCTGGTTGGGGAAGAAAGGGAAGGCAGACCATCTTGCATTTTGTCCTTTGACAGGTCACCTTGACCCTAGTGCCTGTGCCGAATTGACCAGGTGGACAGTGTGGTGCATTGCTGTTCTAGTGAGCTTTGCCCAGGGCACTTGCCGTGCAACTTGAGCATCTTGGCTTCCAGAATCAGATTGTCATTTCACGACGTGACGGATCCATTCAGATCCATACAGATCCAACTTGAGCAGGTCTGAAGTGGCCTACCTGGAAGGGTCGAGAATGCTAGATGCGTCTTGTGCTAGTCAGTTCCCCGAATGACTTGACTTCTTTATGAAAGATTTAGTGCTGCCGTTCCACGGTGCCCGCTGCCACTGCCATCATTCCCACTCAAGCATTTTGTGTGGTGTAAATCGTTGTAATGGTTCCCAAGATGTTTTGCAACATCCAATCCAGCTTGAAGTCATGAGGTTCCTTGCCCATCAAGTACACGGGGAAATTCTGGGCCGAGCCTCGGCGGAATTTCGACTGTGACAGACTTGAATACACTCATATCGTTCTTCGATGCTATATAAACGTTTGTGGCAAGTAACACCGGGTGTTCGGAACTCCACACCTCCTGAACATCATGTTGAATCGGCAATCATTTGCCATGGGAGCGCGCAGTTAGGTGTGACACCACCTAGAAGTACGCACACGAAAGAAGACTGAAGAAGTGAGTCCAACTTGGCTGTTAGATTCATTCAACCCGCAGGTGCTGCCCTGGATTGTGACTCGTGCTTGTAGTCCTATTTCGTTAATCTGGCCGCACATTTTGGGTGCAGCTGGTTAGCTCCGCTTGCAATGCTAATTCATTCAAGCGGAAGCGCCCTTGTTTGTATATTTGGTTCTAGTCCTAATTCGCAAGCCGTAGGGTGTGCAAGGAACATTCTGCGCACAGCCTCCACTCCCTCGCCCAAAGCATCATCGGTCTTCAAAGCCTGCGCTAGCAAAGCTGTGTTTTCAGTTTTCAGCTGACCACACCGGAACCTTTGGGTATCTTGACCCCACACCAAGAAACACCCAAGCAATGCAGTAATGCGAAGAAGCGGGTTTGTCTCAAAACAGCAACACCCTCGAAGACCCCTTGCCATTAGGTTGGAGGCCTTCGGTCTAAGGTTCGACTCCATCGCTAGTTGGTTGGAGGCCATCGCTCTTAGGTTGGAGGCCATTCCTCTTAGATTATATAGAGGCCATCGCTAGGTTGGGAGGACATCGCTAGCAGGTTGGAGGCCATCGGAGGCCATCGCTCTTAGGGTGGGGGCCGTTACTATTGCCAGTAAGTAGAATAGCGGATCAGACGTGATCCGATCCCATGGGTTGGGCGCCCCCTCGTGTCATGGATTGTTCCGAATGTAGCTGTAGGCCACAGAAGGTGCCTTCGATATTGCGGTCTTTTGGGCCGTACCTTGGCGGCCGCGTTTGCGGGTCAGAGCACAACATGGATTAGTTGGAACAGGTTTGGACCTAGACAAAGACACACTCTAAGAAATTCATGTGGTTTTTAGTTTCATTTGCCTGAACTTTTTGTTTCGCTTTTCTTGCACCTTGCCAGTACTGGATTGTGTCTTGGACTTTCACGTACTGAGCTGTCTTCGTTGAGCCACTTCTTTGTCAAGGAACAACTAAGCCGTGAATTCGTCAGGAGTTCTTCTTGCTTGAGTACTTGAATGGCAATCCACAATATGCTCAAGGACAACTTGGCAACTGCCTAAGTCGTGCTAGCCGGGGGCTGCCAATACAGTAAATCAAGTGCAGTCCTGACCTTCTTCTGCTTCAGATCAAACAAATAGAAGCACGACTTGATTTGCTTTGATATGTTAGAAGCTGACCCCCTCTGTCTGGGGTGCATCATCTTCATCATCATCATCATCTTAGGCGTCTCCGATTTGGTGGACCTTTATCGCATGGCCGTGGAGAACATTGAGATCATGGACGATCACTTTGCATCCCGAAGCTTTGAGTCCACCATGGTGGGGCAGGGACACTCGCAGTGCTGGAACAGATGTGTCTTTGCTGGCCCAATTCTTCAAGAGGAATTACATCAGCTCCAATCTTTTTGACTATCATGATGTCTTTTAGCCAAACAAAGCATGATAAAGCCACGTGTCAGTACAACTGAGCATATTCAGTAGATTTGCGTATGTTCTGTTTTCGTTTGAATTGCCAGTTCTGACCTTGAGCCAATTGAGCCAAGTACTTAAACAAACCCAGAAGGTCCGAGTTGATCACCGCGAGCTGGAACGGTTTGAGCCGTCGACTGTGTTTGACATTTCGCCTCTGTGACTTATTTCATAAACGCACAGTCTGTTTGGGATCTAGGCTAGTATAACTTTCTTGGTTGCGAGAAACTGGGCCAGGCGTCGCACATTCTGGGGACCTTGCTTCAAGCAGCAGAGAGGAAGCCCATTCCTGGGCTCAGCCATAGCCAAAACACCAAAGTTGTGTACATGGCTGGCCACGCAACCTGGATGAACATGCGTACATGTCTGATCCATGCTCCAGAGATTTTGGGGCAAGGTGTCCTGCGACACAACGTGCTTTAGACTTTAACCGTATTCACATCGTATGTGGGACACCGATCTCTTTGAAATGCTTGCTTGTCGAAGAAGCGGGTGATGTGTCATGACTAACCTGACTAACCCAGTCAGTAGGGACACGGAGACGTTGAGGATTGGTGTTGGCACCAGAGATTTAAAAAGATCCACAGTGTCTTCCCTCGGAAGGGGGTTGTCATTAACTGAGGACACGAATTTGATTTTGCTGCGGTTATTGCTTGGGCTACGGTGGCAAAGCCACGGCTGGGCGCAGAATGGAGTGGCACCTGGTGGAATGCTGATCTTTGAGTTGGACGGGGGTGAAAAGCAGTTCACTGCCAGCAGAGATTGTAGTTTCTGGTCAGAAAAGTCGTTGGTTCCTAGACCAGCATTGGGTATGGGTCGTGTTGGTGGAAAGCAGTCATCAGCAGGAAAGGAGAAAGAGCGGTTTCATGGGGCTACGTACTCACTAGGCACTCTGCCACACTGCCTTGCCGCGCCCCACCCCCGACAGGAGCAACGGCAAGAGGGTGGCCCGGTTGTCAGCATCTACTTTCAGGCAAGGACATTGATGAAAGAACTTGCTTTGACAGGCCAGACACGTCTCAAGCAGGTAGATTTTATGCTTTGCACGTATTTTTGATCAGCGTTCAGACACACAGCAGAAGTCTATGTTCTTGATTGATTCCGATTTTGCTCCGGCTGGAGTGCAGGTAGCTCAGCCAGCGCAGCTGCGTGAGGGCCAGCCCTTCAGTGAACCGCAAGCACCAAGCCGTGTGCAGGTGGGCATTTGGTGGAAGTTTTCTTGGTGAGCTTCGTACGAGCTGTGCTTGAATGGTCATCAAAGTAAGAAGAGGGACGAACTGTGCTGACAGTGTTGTTCATGGAAGTGCTGGAGGCGGTTTAACCTTGAGGACCGGCCTGCCCTTAGGTCGCCATCACAGACTGTCCTGGTGATCCTTTTGCATGTCCTTTGGACGCTTGGTTTTTCAACATCGTGATGGACACACAGACAACCCTTGGGAGGCAATGACCAAGCCCAAGCGAACAACATACTACCGCAGTTCTGAGCTGAAAGTTTCGAGAGATGTTGGACAGACAAAATTGGATCACTACTAGTCCCAGTAGTTGTCACTAGCATAGGATGATGTAGCTCGCTTCAGACCTTTGAGGATGCTTTCAAAAAGATGGTTATCTCCAAGTTGCGGCCGGAGTGTATTGGAATTCCAGGCAGGCCGTTTCGGTGGAAGACCACGCTTAGTTTTGCTTTGCAGTCCACTGCTTGTGCAGCCCTCCGCGATTTGGTGGAGAACCATGGAGCTGGCTCCGTTCCGTGGCCTGCTCAATATTGGTGGACCTTTCTTCTCACAGGACAGAAATCTACAGCAGCTGTAGCCTTCTGAGAAAGGATGTCTTGAGCCAGGCGAAACAGAGAGTGGTTGTGCCACATTGCAGGTCAGCTTTTCAAGACTAATCGAGGTCCTTTGATGTCGCTGTGTCTCTTGGAGTTCCATTTTGGCTTCCAAAGTCTAAGTGAACAATAACGCTGAGAGAATTGACTTGTAGCTCGAGGACTTGCTGCCTTTCTGCTTGGAGCGGCGATCTCATGGTTCATAAAGAAGCGAAGGCGCAGCTTTTTGTCGACCACGTCGTGTATATCTATATATAGATAGAGAGAGCTTTCGACACGCTAAGGCTGGATTCTTTCACAGAATGCTGCATGTTCCAAGAATCGGGTGAATAAGCGAATAAGCTGAAAGTGTCGATGACTTGAAGGCTAACTGACATGCAATTCGCTTGCAACTGGGTTGGAAGGTCCTCATCACTGTCCTCCGGATACAGCTCCCAAGAGCTTACAAGCTGAAGACACGGTTGAAGACACGCGACCGTTGGGACGCAGATTTTCAGTGAACTTGGCAAACGTAGCAATGTGTTTTGACCAACTCGGGCCGCTTGGGCTTTGGAGTCTAACAATTCAAGTGTTGCTGTTGGAGTAGAGCTCGCTTGCTTGCAGAGCTTGGTCGGATCGGCTGACCATTGATGCTTTTGCAATTTGTCTTCCACTAACGTGTGAAGAGTTGCAGCCTTTTGCGATTGTTTGGAAAATATGGTAGTCAAGCTCACGCTTCACCGTCCTATGAACTCGAGCCTCACCAGTGAGACGATGGTTGGCATGAGTACGTCACGTCAAAGCGAGAGTTGGTCTCTGCTGCCCACGCAGGCTGTAGCCACTCGGATAAAAAGCCTCGAGGAGGAGCAGCGGGAGCTGGTGGAATACCAACAGCTCGAGCCTACCTGGCAAAATTATTCAGACCACAGTAATAACATGCTCAGGCTCAGTGACTGGAGGGTCTAAGGCGTAAACTCTCTTTGGGGCACAAATTGCAGAGCACTTTGGTTTTGAGCAAAACCGCCGCCATTTGATCACCTCTCCACCCTTTCACATCAGTGGTGCCACTGTTGAAAGCGCTGTTGGTCGTTTCGCCAGGAAGCAGCGGCGCTGTTTGGAGTACGAGCTCACCGATCGCGACTGGCGAACAGCACAGGAGAGTAAGAAAAGCAGCCTTCGAACCAGACCTTGCCTGGTCGTTGCAGGAGCGTATCGAGACCCTTGAGGCACAAAAGCGGGAGGTTGCTGAGCAGATGCACAAGGCCATGCTTTTGCCGTAATTATCGAAGTTTCTTGATCGGCTTGACATGGGGTCAATTGAATTCTGTTGTCAGAAGTGCGAAAGCCACTCAAAGTTGCTTTCTTTGGGCGATTGAGGTCCAAGGTTTTAGAGTAGGTCCAACATGTTTTACTCCTGGCACTTTGGAATAAGAACACCTGTCTTCGGACATGACCATCGACTCACCATTTCCATTATTCATTCTTGCAACCTATTAGGCCTTGCCAGAAGGCCTCACGATTGCACCACGATCTGCTTTTTTCCGGCTGTCTCCAGTTGTGGTGGGGTCACCTCTTTGGGCTCTTCGGGAGTAGTGGGTTGCTTGGGTTGTGGGTCTCTCCAGCTGTGGTGAATTGTTTGGGTTCGTTCAGCACAAGAGCCCAGCTAGACTGACCTGTTTGGAACTGAGTAATGACCACCAGGCAAATCCCATTCTGGGAGGTTCATTTTCCTTTTTGGCCTTTTCACCCAACCGCATGGGCGTGGAAAACCCCCCTGCGATGTCAGGTGCAGCGTGACACCACCGACCTCCGGGCTCGCCTGGATGATGCCGAGGCGGAGGTGCAGCGCGCCCGGCGCCCGAAGGATCCGTCGGGTCAGCTTCTTGTTCCTAGGAAGAATGCTCCTAGTAGCTTCTTGTTACTAGTAGTAGGGCCAGGAGCCCCTAGTGGCTTCTTGTTCCTAGTAGCGATGCCCTTTGCCCCTAGTAGCTTCTTGTCTGCGTGCGTTTTGTGCCGTGCTGCAAACATTCGGTCCTAAATGAGACGATTGCACAGAGGTTTTTGGTCCCAGTGGCTCAACCTGACATCTTTTTTTTGTTCATCCTTTTTGCATGACGACTCCGGTCAACCCCACGTGGTGACACAGGCAGAAGGAGGCGAGCAAGGAGAGATAATCTACTGGCAGCAAGGAAGCTCTTAGTAGAGACTCATAAACATCTATCGCATGGTGATATTTGTCCTTAGATTGTAGGGAAGCACACTTTAAGTTTCAGCCTTGAAATCTTCCAAGTGATTGAGGCCAGCACCGAGAAGCAGCGTATGTCCGTGGAGCACGAAGAGGCGAAAGACTCTTCGTTGATTCGGCGAACATGTAAATACCAAGCAAACACCGCCAATCACATTGCATTCAAGAAGCATTTGTCATTTTCCTTGAGAGTGAGAGCTTAAGGGGAAGTTGGCTGCATCCTGTTTCCTGTGGCGGATCACATGAGATTGAATGGGGATAAGAGCAGGTTAAGCTGTGCGTGGATTGCAGAAGTAATCTAAACAGGATGGATATATGCTTCATGGTTGGGCGAAGAAAGGCAAGTGCATATTGGTATGTCCTCAAGACTTTAATCAGGAAGAGCCGGGAACGTTCGTGCCCAGGTAGAACGTTCGAGAGCCAGGCAACTGGATGAGCTGACTAGAGCGAAGTACCTTGGACCTGGTGAATTTAAGAACGAAAGAATCATTACATAAACCTTATGTGCAGAAGAGTGACGTTTCGGAGGTCACGGGAAGCAAAGTTCTTTGGAGAGCTCATTATATACTGTAGTTGATGTCTGCGCACTGAAGGGTAGGCTTGAGGAGCACTCAGCCCCTTTGAATCACGGATGCGCTTAGGTTGGAGCTCACAGATGAACAAATGCGAGCCAAAGATGCTTTGAAGACACAGGAAGAGCTCAAGAGTGAGGCCCCGGTTTGGAAAGTGAGGCCAAATAAAGGTACCCCGATGAATCCCCAAAGCAGAATGATTTACCTGGAGGCCCTCACCTACCAGTGTTTAGGCCAACAACGCTTTGGTCAAGTCAACATGTGGGCTTCAAGTCAAACCCTCGAACTCGCGGGAAATGAGGGAGGGCTGCATGCCTCTGATTCTGGATTCATATTCTCAGCGACAACAGTTCGCAACCACGACTGGATTTACTTTTCGCTTTTGATTGAAGGAAGATGCAATGTGATTTGACAACATGAATTCTAGCACAGTGGGTGAAACTCTTGTCGTTTCTCCTCTCAAGGTGAATCTCCTGCCCAAGTGCTCAGTAAGAATGCCTAGTGCCTCTTTAGTGCTGCTTGCCAACCTTCCTGGGCCATGGCAGAAAGCACAGCATTTTCGGTTTGGATGTGTCCCGGAGGAGAACTGGCTGAAAAGTTTGCAGGGCTGATCCGTGAAGTGGGAAGGGAGTTTGACGGACCTCCCTTTCAACCTCATGTGACTTTATTGGGCAATGCACCCAAGGGCTCCACTGAAGAGGCGAGGGTAGCTGTTCAAAGACTAGCAAGTTCTCTAGAGCCCTTCGAGGTGCGTGTCCTGCCGGAGATGACGTTCCATGACACCTGGAACCAAAATGTCCTTCTCTACGTGGAGGAATCGGAGGAGCTCAAGGCGGCTAACAGAAAGGCACAAGAAGTCTTGAGGAATGAACCAAAGCCTTTGGCCAAGTTTGCAGCCCCATCCCATCGTCCACATTTGTCCTTGATATATGGAGATCATCCACCGGAGCTGCGACCAAAGATCGTGTCCTGGATTCAAGAGCAAGCACCCTGGGCCGTCGCGGATGCTTCGAGCTTTCTTTTGGAAGAGATCCAACTCTGGGCTGTTGATGGCGGCTGGTCGACCGAAAGCGTGCCACGCTGGCATTTTGTTGATGCTTTCAAGCTGGGAAGCAGTTCAGCTGACAAGGGAGAGTTATAAGATCTCCGGCCGGACTCTGGTAACAGTGTGTGCGCAAAAGATGCAAAGGGATTGGCCTGGCAGACATATGCACAGAATCAGACAAACAAATAGCTCCAGATCACCTCATCGCACACCACACCAAGTTTCTATAGCTGCCAGCCCACAGCAAGACTCAAGACAGGAGGGATCCGAGTGAACATTGGTGTAAAGTGGAGTTGCAGAATTGTTCTCGCTTGTAGCCGATTCCCAAGAACCCACATAGCTCACATTCTGACAAATAACACGTCCTAAAACCCCTCTCATGTCATGGATTTTGAGTTGTTTTACTCACCAGCACCAACCAGCTGAGTTTGCTTCTCTGTTTGCTTCCAGTGTTTTGACGAGGCCAGCCGCTTGCAAGCGGAGAGTGAAAAGCTGACCACGGAGCTGGCCAGCCTGAAGCCGGGGCCGTCAGACGGAAGATCGAAGCGAGAGGAAGGAGGTTGAAGACTGCTGAAGAGCTTTTGTCGTGTAGAGTGGCGACTGTGGGACCATGTGTGCAAGGCCAAATCTCATAAAGGAGACTGAGAGGTGGGTCGGGAGAGGGGGTGGTGCATGGAATGAAAAGTGGCCTGGAGCTGCAAATCGACTGAGGGATGTAGATCAAGCGGTGAGGTTGTGTTCATGTTTGAATCAACCTTATTGGGATAATATGGATTTGAGGGTCTGATCAAAGTCAAACAGGTCCATTTGAGACCGTTGGAAGCTGACCTGCAGGAAAGCAGAGCTCCTCCACCGCAAGCAGATCTGTGAAGCAAAGCGGGGTCAGCTCTTTGCCAAACAAGGCCTCGGGCCAGCCGGGTGGCCGAAGATAGGCATTGTATGGTTGAGGCTCAGTGGGTTGCATCCCAGGAGCTGCAAGAAGGTTCTCTCATGAGAGCAGTTCATTTTTGAAGTCTTGAGGAGGAGACGATTCGCCGGGGTTGATTCACCCACAAGTTTGCTTGGCCTCCCGGTGGACACAAGTTAATTTGCGCTTGTTGGGTCATAATTGTGAGAGCCTGATCATGTGGGGGTGACCTGCAGGTCGCAGTTCGCAATACAGCAGTGTGGCAGCACGCAACAAGGCAGTTCCGGTTTGGTGAGGAGCGCAGAAACATCATCAGAGGCTTTTCACACCAGGCTTCTGCTGGTTGTACTTTTGCGGCCACCGCATGTGTGTAGGCTCATGTGGAGAGGACTTGCAAAGCAGATAAGCAATGAGACATAATTAAAGAGCATAGGCTAAATCTAACCAAACTGATAGAAACTAATGATTAGATGAGATGGTGGTGCAACGCACTTAGGCCTTTCATGGAGAAATGTGAAGACCCTTTGCAGTGTATCATCTGCAAGGTGTCAGGACCTTTTTCCACCCAGTGCCATCACCAAAGCACAGAGGAAGTTTCAGCTCAACCAACTGGAGCTGCTCGAGGTTGAACCCTCAAAGGGCCACAGGATAATCGTAGACATATTCTTTGTCGTGCCTTGCAGATGCCGCCATTGTCATAATGTGCTGGCTCTAAAATCATTAGGTTGATTGTGATGGCTGTTTAATCCACAGTTTCCTTGCTTTGCCCCCCAGAAGTGGTTGAATCTGCAATTTGTTACGCCCAAAATTGCTTGTGCTCGTGGCAGGCCCTGCGAGATGAGGTGGCCCAACGGACCTTGCGAAGAGACAAAGCAGTCGCTTGGTGTGAAGAAACCTTGCTGATTCAGCTTAACAAGTCCAGTGCGCATTCGACAATTCATATTTCTAAGCACTTTTTGCCTGCAGCCTTGACATCCAGAGGCACTAATGTTGATTGACATCGCAACAGTGAGATCGGATCAATGATGTTTATTCACTGCCAAAGTTCATAGTTCCCTTACGACGACTGCTGAGTCCGCAGTGGATTGTGAGTAGTCTGAGATGATGTCTCAACAGCCAACACCCACAAGACGCGGCAAGACAACTATATTAAACTAGACGACGAGTGGCCCGAAAGCATTTTTCATCACGTAGGAAGTCAGAGTGCGAGTTATCTGTTAAGTGTGTTATAAGTGTTCAGTGTGAAGTGTTAAGTCGAGTGTGTTGAGGCAGTGTGTGGGTCTCTGTGTGTGTGTATCTATGTCTGTGTCTCTCTCTGTATGTCTTTCTGAAGCGCAGGAACACCTGTTTTCTGCAAGTTCTTCACCTCTCGAAAGTCACCTCCGCGTAGTAAAGTTGTACTACAAAGTCGCCAGTTCTCATCTTCCAGCTCCACAGATTGCTCCGTGTACTAAAGTTCTACTACCAAGTCGCCAGTTCTCATCTTCCAGCTCCCCAGATACTCCGCGTACCAAGTTGTACTACCAAGTCGCCAGTTCTCATCTTCCAGCTCCCCGGATACTCCGCGTACTAATGTTGTACTGCCAAGTCATTGTACTACCAAGTCACCAGTTCTCATCTTCCCACTCCCCAGATACTCCGCGTACTAAAGTTGTACTACCAAGTCGCCAGTTCTCA